AGCCATCCTTCTGCCTTGGCCTCCCAGGGTTCTATGATTACGGGTGTGAGCCACCATGCCTGGCTTAAATTTCATCTTCTTACACAGACACCAGTCAGATTGGATTAGGGCTCATCCTTATGGCCTCATTTTAACATAATTATCTCTTTAAAGACTTTATCTCTAAGTACAGTTACACTCTGAAGCACTGGGGATTAGGGCATTAACATAGGAATTTTGGGGGATCATAATTCATCCCCAAATGGAATCTTAATATATCTAATCTATGAGGTGGGAGAAATGAATTGAGGTGAAAGCTGGCCTTGGTAAGGGAGCAGGAGTCACTCCTTAGCCAGAAGAGGCAAATGTCTAATCCTTCCTTATGACATGAACAATGTTCATGTTTTGTTTGTGTTGAGATGTGATTCTGGAGAGATCTTGCTTTCATCTTCATTCATCACAGAGTGGCCTTGTCTGATGTTGATGCTCTGTGAAATTGCTTCTGTTCAACAAGAGAACACCGTGGCTTAGCTGTGGGTGCCAGGCTAGCTTGCAGCAACACCAGGCAAGCCCTGACTGATAGAAGCTGACCAGCCCCCAGCTCTCCAGGGGTGTTTTCTCTTTTTTACAGTCTGGTACAAGCAGTGTACTTGCAAAACAGATGCAGCTTTGGGATACTCGCCAATCTTTCCTACTTAGAAAATCTTGTGCCTACACTGGATGGCCGAGGGCATGTGGCAACATTCAGCTCCTTTCCAAGAATGCACGGAGCCTGGACGCCTGGCAGTGGAGGGAGTAGGTGTTTCCACACTCTATCAGCTTCATAGGTCTTCAACTGCTCGCCTTGAGGATGAACACACCCTGCTGGCTGAGCGTGGCTCTGGAACGCCTGGGAATGTGCTTAGCATTCCACTTCCCCTGGTCTATTAGTTACCTATTGCTGTGGCAACATATTACCACAAACCCAGTGGCTTAAAACAGCACACATTTATTTTCCCAGTTGCTTTGGATCAGGAGTGTAGACATAGCTTAACTGAGTCCTCTGCTTAGGGTCTCACAAGGCTGCAATCAGGGGGTTGTTGGCCAGGACTGGATTCCCATCAGAGGCTCCACTGGAGAGGGATCTGCTCCTGAACTTACTTAGTTTGTTGGCAGAATTTGTGTCATCATGACTGTAGGACTCACGGCAACTTGTGTATCCAAAGATAGCAATGGAGAGGAACTTTAGCAAGACCAGCACTACATGCTTGTGTAGTCATGCACAAGTAATCACAGCACAGCCCATGACCTTTTCCACATTTCATTGTTAGAAGCAAGTCTCAGGTCTGGTTACAATCAAGGACATGGTATGAAACATAAATGTGAATATCAGGAGGCAGAATCGAGGGGACTTGCCACTACACCTCTTTTGTCCCAATCACCTTGGGAAATCTGTGGATGGCCGCAGGTCAGCCAAGCCAGATAGAAAAAGGCAGGGTGAAGGCACAGAGGTGTGATAGAAGCCATAGAAAATCCTCTGCATTCTCTGAAAACTTTATTTTTGAGGGTAAATCTGATTTTCAGGAAAGAGCAAAAAGGTATCCACAGTATAATTTCCTCAGGTACTGCTATAAAGGGGACAAGCCTCACAGGTTTGCGTGAATTCAGAAAGTCATTAGTAGGGGCACAAAATAAGCACTTATGAATAGGTGGACCTAAGGGGATGCTGTAGTTTGAAGGTGCCCTCCAAAAGCATGTGTTGGAAAGTTAATCCCTAATGCTACAGTGTTGGGAGCTGGGGCATCATGGGAGGCTTCACCCTCATGACCTCAGTGAGGCTGACTAAGCTCTCAATCTCGATTTCTCTCTTTCTCGCTCTCTTGTCCTCTCACCTTCCGCAATGAGATGATGCAGTGAGGCCCTTGCCAGATGCAAGGAACCTTGATCTTGGGTTTCCCAGCCTCCGGAACTATAAGGAAATAAATTTCTGTTCTTCATAAATGACCCAGTCTGTAATATTCTTCTATAGCAGCACAAAATGGACTAATACGGGAGCGTTGCCAAGGATTTCAACCATACATGAAGAGGAAAGAGAAAGGACCAGGGAATGGAGAGAACATCTTTTCGAGTTCTTTTTTTTTTTTTTTTTCTTCTTGGGACAGAGTCTTTCTCTGTCGTCAGGCTGGAGTGCAGTGGCACGATCTCGGCTCACAGCAACCTCCGCCTCCCGGGTTCCAGTGATTCTCCCGCCTCAGCCTCCCGAGTAGCTGGGACTACAGGCCCGCGCCATCCTTGTATTTTTAGCAGAGACGAGGTTTCACCATGTTGGCCAGGATGGTGTCGATCTCTTGACCCGGGATCCACCCGTCTCGGCCTGGGATTACAGGCGTGAGCCACCACGCCCGGCCGCATCTCTTTTAAAGTTCTTGATACTTTTTGCTTTCCCCCATCTCACAACCGAAGGAGAACGTTTTTGCCAGCAGGTGGCAGCGCTGGAGCCTGAAAACGCCAAAGAGCAGCGTCCTGGGTTGGCCCGGAGACTAACGATTGCGGCCGGGCTGACATGGGGAGTCATCTGAAGATAGGAGACAGTCAGCTCCAGAAAGTAAATCCCCACTCAAACTTAGAAAAAAGTTGGCGATTTTACAAAAACATCTGAACTCTAAATGTTGGTGGAGTTAAAGCTCGATAGACGTGACTCTTCAAAGCCAGGAGTTCTTTACCAGAAAGCTGGAAATGGGTTTCAGAAAGCCTCTCCCCGCATTGTATGCAAATATGCCCCCCTCCCGTTTTCTTCTTTTTCCCTGGGAGATCGTCCAGTTTCTATCAGATTCTCAAAATGGACAGCGACTTAAAGCAATTAAAAACCACTGCGACAAATGCTCCTGCAAACACCACTCCGAAGTTAATCGCGCAGAAGTCTGGACTTTAAAAGGTGGTGGTAAAGTGAGCTCAGGCAAGGGTAGGAGGTGTGGGAGGCGGGGCACAGGTGCTTGCTTTCCTAATTTTCTCCCTGAAGGACCAATGCCGTGAAAAATCCTCAGTGGGGTTTTGGAGCCGAAAGGGAGCGACTGCAGTTTGCAGGCCTGCTATGTGCGCCAACCAAGGTGTTTCTCATAAATGTCCTCTTTTAATCCGTGCGGCAATCCTCTGAGTTCGGTGTTAACATCCCTAATATTATTCCCAAAAATATCTTAAGAGGGCTCTCAATGGAGTGCTGACTTTTGTGGTCCTGGATTTTCAGTGGATGCACATACTGACCATTCCTCTCTCTCTTTTACATTCAGAACTTCCATGTGATTTTTTTTGTTTTAAGTGAATTTTCCTTTATAAATAGCCTTTCATTTATTTTGTCTCTTTCAAATAAAAGGCACCCTCCTCTCAAAATTGGTAGCAAACGCACAGACGTAAAACGCGGGAACCAATGCGATTTTAGGTTGAATTTAGGACAGCGGTGGAACTTCACTTTTCCCTTCTTGCGGTCACACGAGATGGGCGGCGGCCCCTGCAGGGTTTGGGCGGGAGAAACACGGTTCTGGAGTCCCGCGGCCGCCTAGGCGCGGGGCTGACCGGCTCGGGTGAGGTGGGGTTGGGGGAGGGAGGTCGGGGCTCGGCCCCACGTGGCCGCCGCTGCCTGGCTCACCCCAGCCCCGCCCGGAGGCGGCCCCGCGGCCCCTGCTAGCCCGGGGCGGGCGGCCACTGCTCCCCTACTCCTTCCCTCCGCATTCTGGGCCTCGGAGCCGCAGTGAGGAGCATGAGTCCCTGGAGCTGGTTCCTGCTGCAGACCCTCTGCCTCCTGTCCACGGGCGCAGCTCCGCCGCGCGCTGCGCCCGGTGCCGCCAACTGCGATCTCAAGTCCCAAGTAAGGCGCGTGTCGGGTGCTGGAGAGCCGGCCTCTCTGCACCTCCTTGGGATGGTTTCCTTCTGAACCCCGCGAAGCACCGCTCTCGGACCCCGAGCCTATTTCCGTAGCTGGGCTTCCACCTCGCACCGCGGCGCCCCTTGCTCGCGCACCTTTCCGCACCCTCGGGTTCCCCTTTCCGGCGGGGGCGCAGCTTGCTGGCTCCAGGAGACTCAGTGCCCTGGCCTTTGCCCTCCGCCAGCCCAAGGGCGTCAGGGAGGGCCCCTGGGGTCCCGCCAGCCATTTTCCCGAGCTTTCGGGGGACGGATCAGCGAGAGTGTAGCAGAGCAGGAGCTTGGGCACATTTATTTGAAGTTTCTTCTTCCCTCTCTTCCTTAAACGTTTATTTTATTTACTCTTATCAAAATATTAGCAGCGTCCTGCAACTGCTTGATTTAACCTATATATGTTCAGTGCCTGAGTTAGAAGGGATTTTTTGGAGTTGAAGCCGTTCCCCTTGTTTTACTGCTGTGGGAAACTGACAATCAGCAGGGGACCTGTGTGCTCCAGGTCACAGAGCGCGTTGGCAGAGTGACCGCTGTCTGAGCCTTGCGTGTCCAGCAGGGCTCTTTAGATGTTCGCACCACCGTTTTGCGGGTGAGGGAAACCCAGGCAAGGGAGGCCAGTGACCTGCCCAAGTCCACACAGCTCTATAGCGGACAAGTCTTGCGTCTCTGAGGCTGGACCTCTTTCGAGATGAGTACTTCCTTCTCTGACCGGTTTTCCTACTCTAGGACTTGTCTGTGGTTCTCAAGTCCCTCTCTTCTGAGTGCGGCATAGGTTGAATTTCGCGCATGTGTGCCCGTGGGTTTGATCTCTGTGCGTCCCTGGCTCTGAGGAGGGCCATGCCAGGCTTACTCTTCTGGTGCGCCCGCGACGCGGGGGACTGGAATTTAGAACTCGGCCCACCTTTGATGACACCTGAGGAGTTCCCCGGTCTGCCTCCACTCCTGGCCATTCACAATTTTATTCCTCATTTCAACTTCAGCAAAGCAGAGGACGGCCAAATAGAGCCGATCTTGGAGCTCAGGGCTGGCTGCGAGGACGCACGGTATTCTCCTCTCTACGGCGCCGCGGGGCTGCGGAGGGTCCTCTACCAGGGCAGCAGGTGCGGCAGCTGGAGAGGGCAGTCTGCACCAGGCATGGTTTCAAACCCTGTTGCGGTGTGGCCGCTTCTTGCTTTTTAGACAAGATAGGAGTCCATCTCCTCACAAGAAAGCACATTGTCTTTAACTTCTTCAAAACCGATTACCAACTGGTAATTATGGTGAGTGAGTCTGGATAAGGTCTCTCTCCTTTCGAATCTGTCTTTATGAGTCCCTTATTCCATCGGTTGTCCTACCTTTTGGTCTCAGGACTCTTTTACATTACAAAAAAGTATCAAAGAAACCCGGCTTGGTGGCTCACTCCTGTAATCCCAGCACTTTGGGAGGCCCAGGCAGTGGATCGCTTGAGCCCAGGAGTTGGAGAGCAGCCTGGGCAACATGGCGAGACCCACGTCTCTACAAAAAACAAAAAAATTACCAGCGTGGGGACTTGTGCCTGCAGTCCCAGCTACTCCAGAGACTGAGGTGGGAGGAAGCCTTGAGCCTGGGAGGTCGAGGCTACAGTGAGGTGTGACTGGGCCGCTGCACTCCAGCTTTTGTGAAAGAGTGAGACCCTATATCCAAGAAAAGTATTGAAAACCTCAAAAACTTTTACTTTACGTGAATTAATGGAGATGTTAGCAAAACACAACGTAACACCATTCCATTAACCATCAGAGTAGCGACCTCATTACACACATGTAGCCTTCAGGAAATTCTACAGTACCTTGTGAGAAAATGAGGGTGAAAGGAAAATATCTTCGTTTTATGAAAATAGTTTTGACCTTACAGATTCCCTGAAAGACTCTTGGGGACAACCCACAAATCCCTGGACCATACTTTGACCATTGCTGTTCCATTCTGTGGGCAAACTCTCTCTTACCCACTTCGGAATTGGGAAGGCCAATCAGTGGCAGGGCTGTATGCCTGACCCACATGCTGCAAGGGCATTGTAGGAGGGTCCCTCAGCGGGTTGGGGTCTTGAGGTTGCAGAGTGGAAGCCCTGGGATCCAGCCTCCAACCCACTGCCACAGCCCCTATAGGATTCTGCAGGAGTGTAGGCTTAAAAGCTGGCTTGGTTTTCACGGTTGGTTAATCATTAAGAGGTCTTTGAGCCCCATATTGGCCCCTAGACACTGCAGGGCTATCCTGAGCACCACGCAGGTTGAGTTTCTTTCTTATCAAACAGAACTCTTAGTGTTCTTTGCTATTCCTGCCTGATGCCTTTTATACTTGCTCTTTCTTCCCCCCGGAAAGTTCTCCCTCCATTTATTCACAGGCTTGCTCCCTTACTTCCATCTGGCTTTGGCTCAAGTGTCTCTCAATGGGCTTCTTCCTGATAGTAAAGGTGATGTCAACCTCTGCCTCCACTGCCATCTGCCTTCCCTGCTTTATTTTTCTCTGGAGCACTTAATCACAGTCTGATAAAAATTTTTGTTTATTGCTACCCCTTCCCCTATGTCACCTTCATAAGGGTAGGGATTTTTGTCGATTTTCTTTGCCTCTGCATCCCCAGTATTCAGAGGAGTGGCTGGCCATAACAGATGCTCAATAAATATTTGTTGAATGAAAAGGATAACATAAAGCCAGCTTCATTCTGGCTGGTCTGCCGAAGAGTAATCTTGGAAAAGTGCAGTTATTGCAGGTCTGGAGATGCTAGGATGGAAGGCGCTGGGGAGGTGCTGGGTGTTGTGAGTTAGCTTGCAGTATGCAGTTGTCATTGTGCCTTGTTCTTTTTCCTTGCATGGACTACACAGGTGTCTGTTAAAATGTCAGTTTAATTAGAAGCTTGTAGGTACTGTGCCTCAGTCACCCATGGCCATGTTCTCTCTCTTTTTTTTTCTTTTTTGAGACAAGAGTCCTGCTCTGTCACCCAGGATAGAGTGCAGTGTCATGATCGTAGCTCACTCTAACCTTGAACTCCAGGCCTCAAATGGTCCTCCTGCCTCGGCCTCCCAAAGTCTTCGGATTACAGGCATGAGCCATCGTGCCTGGCTGTCTTTTCCTTCTGGGAACAGTTGCAACAAGTTAGAAGGGACATGTTAATAGTGGTTCAGTTTTATTATTATTATTGTACTTTAATTTCTGGGGTACATGTGTAGAATGTGCAGGTTTGTTATATAGGTATACATGTGCCATGGTGGTTTACTGCACTCATCAGCAAGTCATCTACATTAGGTATTTCTCCTAATGCTATCCTTCCCCTAGTCCCCCGCCCCCCTACAGGCCCCGGTATGTGATATTCCCCTCCCTGTGTCCATGTGTTTTCGTTGTTCAACTCCCACTTATGAGTGAGAACATGCAGTGTTTGGTTTTCTGTTCTTATGTTAGTTTGCTGAGAATGATGGTTTCCAGCTTCACACATGTCTCTGCAAAGAACATGCATTCATCCTTTTTTATGACTGCATAGTATTCCATGGTGTATATGTGCCACATTTTCTTTATCCAGTCTGTCATTGATGGACATTTGGGTTGATTCCAAAGTCTTTGCTATTGTGAACAGTGTCATAATAAACACATGTGTGCATGTGTCTTTATAGTAGAATGATTTCTAACCCTTTGGGTAGGTTCAGTTTTTTTTTTTTCCTTTCAATCATCCTAATGTTAAAATCTATGGATTCTTCTAACTGCCATATATTTTATTAGTGAAATAGAGTCGTAGACCTACCCTGAGGATATCAGTGTGAGAGAGGCAGAGGCAGTTGCACCAGTACAGTAAGTGCAAGGATCCAGGGCTCACCAGTGGGCAAGGTCAGATAAGAGCTTCCTGATGAGAAGCCCTGAAGACTCTTCTTTCAGCCTATCCCTGCTGAGGGCATGCCTGCTAGGGGCAGGATCAGTACTCCGCAGGAATGGTTATTGGTGCACACAGTGGGAATCAGGGTCAGAACAGAACTGTATGCATTGAAGAAATTCTGTATGATAAGATTCATTTCTTTAAAAAACTCTTTTTGAGCACCTATGTAGTAGTATATGGCAAGTATTTCAGTATTTGGGAATATCAAGGTGAATAAGACATGGCCCTTGTCATAAAAAAGCAGAAAAGCCCCTGAATTGTGTAAACTTGTAAAGAGAAGATGGGAAAGGTGGCACCTGAGGATGTAACAAGGTCCATGTGGTATTAATCTGGACAATCATCTGCGATCAGGAAGGCGAGCTGGACAGAGCCTTTCTAGATTTGGAGTCAGGTGGTGCTCCTGAGCAACAGTGTAACTAGCAGGATATTAACTGAAAAAAGATATGACTCTGAATCACAAGTAACATCTATTGCATGTTAAGGCTGCATAAATATGGTGTTTAAAAGCCAAGACTCACGAGCCAGCCTACCAGTCCACCACCTTAGCACAGGACATATTTTTGCTCCCACCATACCACTAAAACTCTTCTTGTCTAGGTCCCTAGTACCTCAACGTTGCTCAATCCGGAGGTCAGTTCTTAAATTCTTGATTTATTTGGCCTACCTTCCACATTTGACCCACGTGCTTACTTTGTGCTCCCTGAAGTACTTTCTTCGACCAGCCTCCTACTCTTCTGATTTTCTTGGCAGCCTTGCTGGCCACTTCTTCTTCTCCCTTGCTAGCTGCTCTTCTTTCTCCAGACTTCTTAGGGTGAGAGGGCCCCAGGTCCATTCCTAGACCTTTTCTCCTGCGGTCATTCTCTTGGAGACCTTACGTGGCGATGATGCCCTCATCTTTATCTCTGGCTCAGGCCTCTCCCAAGCTACCAGATGGACCTTGGCACTAGGTTGTGTGTTTGACATCTCAACTGGACAGGTCCAAAACCAAATTTCTGACCTACCCCTGTAACCCTCTTTCACTCCTGTCCTTCTGCATATCTGTTAATGATAACCTCATCCTTTCATCAGCAAGTCCTATT